AATTGCTCAAAAACAAAAAAAAAAAGCAGAGCACGCTCAGGAGCTGCAGGCTGTGCCCCCCTTGCGCGCAGTGGCAGTCTGTGAGAGGCTGTCCCTGTGTGTTGCTGTGCCGGGTCCTCCTTCCACCCTGGGACTGTTCGTGCAAAGCCCCAGCCCCTCTGCCCCACAGCCGTCTTTTCTTTCTTCTCTCTCCTCCGAGGGCAGGACAGCAGCTTAAAGAGCTGACGTTGCTGAACCCTGGGAGGCGAGTGGGATTAGCTTCCCTGCCAGCAGTTGCTACCTCATTCTCAAACATACTGGAACATTCTCTAACAGCTGGGAGAGCTGAACTTTGCCTGTCCAGATAGCCACACCCTGGATTCTACTGTGAACACTTTCCCATATCGACTTCTATTCTTTTTTTCAGTATGCCCATAAAAACAAGTCGAATACGTCAGAACACTGGCCAGTTTCTTTTCTAACTTTTTTTTGAGAGGTTTTTGCTATAGGGCGCGTGCGCTCGCCACAGACACAGAGAGAGACAGAGAGACAGAAAGCGAGAAATCACCCCCCAGGGGAGATGGCCATGCTGCAAACCCCTCTCCTCCATTCTCCTCTCGGGATCTCGGGCACACGCACACATGCTCGGCGTGAGTTTAAGCCACCGGGTCCGGGGCTCAAACCGCGGTTGGCGACATGGGAGTCCAGCGACATAGCCATTACGCTAACTGCTGGTCCCATCACTGGCTAGTTTTGAAGTGACAATTTGGTGAGCAGCCTGGGTCCCCAAGGAGCTACCTGACATGTGTGTCCTGGCAGTGTCACGGGTTCAGGGCCTGCATCCTGCTTTCGAAGCCGTCTAGCTGCGCCTCTCTGCACCTTCCTGCAGTTTCTGCTGCTGCACAGCGCCTGCCCCCACAGCCCTCCCATGCCCAAGGAAAGCCTGGAACAGCGCATACTGTTCCTCTGTCCCCTTCCTCCCTTTTCCTTCTCTCCTGCCCCTCATCTCTAATTTAATGTACACTTTAGCGTTTTGCTGTGTGAGATTATTTTTTTCAAAATGTGATTTTTAGGAGCCAGCAGATGGCATGGTGGTTGGGCACTGGACTCCCACATGGCTGACGATGGTTCCAGTCCCGGACCTGGCGACTTGCTTTCTCACTTTCTCTCTCTCTCTGTCTCTGGCGCATCTGCATGCCATATAGCAAATTTTAAAAAATAATGATAATAAATAAAATTAAATAATTATTTTTAAAAATGTGATGTTTAGGGGGCAACAAGTCACCACCTGCTGATGGTTAAGGCTCTGGATCCTACATGGCTGACTGAGTGATTCAAGGGGATTGGAAAATCACGCTGGGTGCATGTGTGTGCATGCCCACAATCCCAAGGGCAGAATGGAGGAAAAGGGATTGTGGCATGGTCATCCTCTTGGGGGGTGATTTCTCTCTTTTTTTCTCTGTGTTTCTTTCTGATAAGTGCACATAAAACTTTTTTTGGGGGAGGGGGCAGACCAGCAGTTAACGTAATGGCTATGTCACTGGACTCCCATGTAGTCGATCGCGGTTCACGTCCCAGACCCGGGGGCTTAAAACACCGGGCACGTGTACGTACGTGCCCAAGATCCCGAGAGGTGAATGGAGGAGAAGGGATTGCGGCGTGGCCATCCTCCCTGGGGGGTGATTTCTCACTTTCTGTCTCTCTGTCTCTCTCTGTATCTTCAGCCAGCACATATGCCTGATAGCAAAAATATTGAAAGAAAAAGAAAATAAGTATTTATTTAATTCTACTTATCATCATATTTAATTTGCTACAGGGTACACGTGCTCACCAAAGAGAGAAAGGGAAGGTGAGAAAGCAGGCCTCCAGGTTCGAGACTCAAACTGCAGTCAGCTGTGTGAGAGTCCAACACCTTAACCACCATGCCAACACCCCGACATGTAATTTTTTTTTTGGAGGTTTTTCGCTATAGGGTGCATGTGCTCGCCAGACAGACAGAGAGAGACAGAGAGATAGAAAGCGAGAAATCAGCCCCCAGGGGGGATGGTCACGCCGCAATCCCTTCTCCTCCATTCTCCTCTCTGGATCTTGGGCACGCACGCACACATACCTGGTGTGAGTTTAATCCACTGGGTCCGGGACTCGAACCGTGGTCGACTACGTGGGAGTCCAGCGACATAGCCATTATGCTAACTGCTGTTCCCCCCCGACATGTAATTTTTTAGGTATGCCCTTGGCCTAGTGATTACAGAAGCCATATCCCATATGGCCAACAGTGGTTAAGTCCTGAACTCAGCAGCTTGAAAACCATGCTGGGCTTGCTCGTGTGACCGCAGATCCTGACAGGAGGGAGATGGAGAAGGGACGGTGGCGTAGCCGTACTCCCACTGAGAGCGCCTCCTTCTCTCTGTGTCTCTGTCTCCCTCTGGCCAGCACACATGCCTTCTGGCAGTCTGTTAAACATAACGGTAACGTGGGGCGGGCAGGGGTGTGGTGGTTAAAGGCACTGGACTCCCACAGGGCTGACTGCAGTCCGAGGTCCAGACCTGGCAGCTCGCTTTCTCACTTTCTCTCGTTCTCTCTTTCTCTCTCACTCTGTCCTTCTCTGGTCAAATTAAAAATAACTAAATACAGTTAAATAAAATGGTTCTAAAAATAAGTAAATACATAATGCGATTTTGGTGGCGTATGGTTCCACAGCAGTGACGACAGCAATGGCACAGGTAAATCCATAGCTGTAGTGCTGACCCAGAGAACCCGACAGGAGGCACGCCCCATACTAACTGTGGGTCCTCCTGTGCGCCTCGCATCCGTGAGTGTTCAGTCCCTCCGTGTGCACCGTCAGCGCTCCAGTGACCTCCTAGAAACACCAGGCCCACCCCCCACCCCGTGGACCTGCCCATGCGCGTGTACGTGTGCGTGTGCACACGCGTGTGCTGGCGCCCCAGCGGTGTTCTTGCTCCTGCAGAGCCGAGATGGCCGTCCTGTCGAAGGAGTACGGTTTTGTGGTCCTGACGGGTGCCGCCAGCTTCGTGATGGTCGCCCACCTCGCCATCAACGTCGCCAAGGCTCGCAAGAAGTACAAGGTCGAGGTGAGTGGGGACCGCGCTGCCGCCTCCAGGGCTTGTCCGGCCGCGGGCTGGCCGAGGGCACAGGGCGAGCTGAGAAGCCGGTGGGACCATTTTAGGATGGCACGGCCCTGCGAGGGAGCGGCCTCCTCCTGCTTCGTTGTCTGTTCTCTGGAGAGACCAGGCATTCTGGGGTTAGAACAGGGTGCTTTTGGCAGGTCGATTTATTGGGGGAGTGTTCACTTCTCTATAGCACGTTAAATGGCAACACCGTTTCCCGCCGTGCCACTTGGAAAATGACGTCTTAAAGTAACTTTCCTGTTTTCCAAGAGGTGCTGAAGTCAGCCTGGGCTTAGGCTTTGGACATCGGGAGGAGGGCTAGCAGAGTCTTCCTTTAATCAGAGCTGATTTAGAAGGGATAGTCACCTAACTCATCCCTTGTGAGAGCTTCTTTTAAAGGTTTTATATCCAGTTCCCTTTTTTTCACTCTCCTTCTAATGGATGCTTCCATTAAAATTCTAACACACAGGGCAAGCAGGCGACATGGCAGTTAAGGCGCTAGACTCCCGCATGACCAACTGCAGTCTGAGTTCTAGACCTGCTAGCTTGCTTTCTCATTTTCCCTGCTCTTTCTCTCTCTCTCTGGTGAGTGCACGTGCCCTATAGCAAATTAAAATATAATAATAAGAAATACAATTAAATAAATTATTATTTATTTTTAATAATTTATTTAATTGTATTTGTTATTAGTTTTTCATTTGACTAGAGAGAGAGAGAAAGGGAAAGCGAGAAAGCAAGTCACCTGGTCTGGGACTTGAACCACTGTCAGCCATGTGGGAGTCTAATACCTTAACCACCACACCACTTGCCCAGCCCAAAATAAATAATTTTTTTTTTTCTTGAGAGAGATTTTTGTTCTAAGGCGCTTGCACATGCTGGAGAGACAGAGAGACAGAAAGTGAGAAATCACCTCCCGGGGGGATGGCCACGCCACAATCCTTCTTCCTCCATTTTTCTCTCGGGATCTTCGGCATACTCACACCACTAGGTCCAGGACTCGAACCGTGGTAGACTGCAGACTACGTGGGAGTCCAGCGACGTAACCACCACACCATGTGCTGGTCCCTATAATTCTTTTTATAAAATAATTCTACCACTCTGGCCAGCTGGTGGTGTGGAGATTAAGGCCGTCGGGCCCTACGCGGTCGGCTGCACAGTTCACGTTAACCCAGGAGCTTGAGACACCTGCCAGGTGCATGTGCCTGCATGTCCAAAATCCCAAAGGAGAGAGAAATACAGGAGAAAGGACTGCAGTGGCGGGTGCTTCCTCACTCTCCCTCTCTCTCCAGGGAGCATGCACGGCCTCTGGGAAAAAAAATAGTATTTTAAAGAATTATTGTATTTATCTTTATTTATTTATTTATTTTCATTTGACCAGAGATGGACAGAGTGAGGGAGAGAGACGGAAAGTGAGAAACCAAGCTGCCAGGTCTGGGACTTGAACCGTGGTCAGCCACATGGGAGTCCAGTGCTCTTAATCACCACACCACCTGCCAGCCCCTCTAGCAAATTTTTTTACAAAAACCTCACACGCTCAATGCCTGTTCTCCCGTTAAGGGAAATCTTAAAAGGTGCTGGCGTTTGGTGACTCCTGGGGAGGAGCGGCTTCTCTGCGCTGCCCTCGGGTCCCCTCTGAGTCCCCGCTGATGTGTGTACTTGGCACGAGCGGCCTCTGTACGTGAGCGGCTTCAGTGCAGACGTGTGTTCTAGCCCTTGTTATTCCTGCTACTAGAGACGGTGACTCTGCTTCTGAGAACTGGGACTCTCCTCACTGCAAATATTTAGGCAGAAAGCAGGGTCATCTCCCAGTTATTATTATTAGTTTGGGTTTTGCTATAGGGCATGTGCACTTGCCAGAGAGAGACAGAGAGGGAAAGTGAGGCCTCGCTCCCTTGGGGGCATGGCCACGCCTGTCCCTTTTCCTCCGTTCTCCGGCTGGGACTTGGGCACACACGCACACATTCAGCATGGCTTTCAAGCCGCCAGGTCTGAGACCCAGACTGCAGAGTCGGCCCTGTGGGTCCAGCTGCCTTGTCCTCCATGCCACCCGCTGTTCCAGGACGGGTCATTTGTAACTCTTGGCACTGGCGTGGCCCTGGGCCATTGGATCAACATGGCTTTGTTTTCACAGTACCCTACCATGTACAGCACGGACCCTGAAAACGGGCACCTCTTCAACTGCATCCAGCGAGCCCACCAGAACACGTGAGTGTTGGCCCCCGCCCCGAGGCACCAGCAGGGCGGGTCTCTGCTGCCAGCACCTCGGCCCTTGGTGCCCTGTGTTTGCTGAGTGACAGTCATGGACACCTCGATTAAAAGGCCACTTAAAAACAAATTAAGTGAACAGAGTGAATAGTGAGCAAAATTAAGAGTTGTTAGAATTTTAGGATAATCTTTTCAAAAATACTTATAATGTGGCATTCCTTCTTTAAAAAATTATAGTCATTGTCATTATTTTATCTTATTTTATTATTATTTTGAAGTTGACCAGAGAGTGAGAAAGCAAGCTGCCAGGTCTGGGACTCAAACCTGATCAGCCATATGGGAGTCCAGCACCCTAACCACCTGCCGGGCCCCTGATGTGGCGTAACTTGTGCAGTGGTTTCAGCATACCCCATCTGAACAGATGTTCTCGCTCTCTTTCTCTCATGAAAGACATAAACTTTACAAAAGGGGGGAGCTGGCTCAGTGGACCAGCAGCATGCTGCTCAAGCAAACTGCAGTCCCTATGGAAGGTCGTGGGTTTGGTTCCCAGGCCAGCCGGTACACGCCAGGCGCACACATGCCAGTAGTCCTGGCTGGCTGGGAAGGCTGGGGGAGAGGTCGCAGGAGCCCTGCCCAGGGTGCTTGTCCTAGAGGAGCATGGACTCTGCAGAGTGGGGAGGTGGGAGGCTGAGAAGCACCCCTGCCCAATGGGGTGTGGTCACTCCATAACCCTACTCCTCTGTTTCCCTGTCCTGGGATTTGGGACATGCCTGCCTGCATACTTGCTGTGTTTTTTGAGCAGAGCCAGGATTTGAACCAGGTGCTCAGTCATGTGGCATGCAGCTCCCTTAACTGCCAGGCCACAACCCAGCCCCCGAAGTGCTTGATTTCCTTCTTCCTGCTCGTCTCGCTCTCTCTCGTGAGATGAATAAATAACCTTTAAACTGACGTTCTACTGCCAGCTATAGGGAGTGAGGCTTTGAGTTCTGTGAGGAAGCCTGCTCTCACCGTGGGCGTGGGCGGCCTTACCATCGCGCCACCTGCTGGCCCCACGATTTATTCATCTTACATAAGTACGTCCTCACTGGTGTGTGGGGTGTGAGGTCTTCTCACGCAGCGTGTCCTGGCTACCTTTCTCCCGTGCAGAGCAAAACAAGGTGGATCTCAGTGGCCAGGTCTTCTCCTCCAGTCAGCGTTTAGTTCTTCCATGAGAGAGAGGGGGACAGAGAGAGACAGACAGACAGAGGCACCTCTGACAGTCTTCATGCTGCCCCCCGCCAGCCTCGGCCAGCCTGCAGGCGCTCTTGGCCTGGACAGGCAAGCCTTGGGATACGAACCCAGGACCTCCCCGCGTGGGTCCAGTTGCATTTCCGCTGCACCAGCACCCGGCGCCCTGGTGTTCATTTTGACTCACCAGTTTGCGGCGTGGCAAGTGCGAGCGTACAGGGCTCAGCCCACGCAGGCACGCTGAAGGGCCTTTCTGAAGCTTCTCTCTGTGGTTCCAGGTTGGAAGTGTACCCGCCCTTCTTGTTTTTCCTGGCTGTTGGCGGCGTTTACCACCCGGTAAGTTCATCACTCACACTTTTTATTCCCTCCGACCCCTTTTAACCCAGTGGGTCACCCCAAGATAGTGCCTGAGTGGAAGGATTTGTTTATCTTTTATTTTTTTTTAGGAATTATTTTTATTTATTTATTTATTTATTTTATTTTGGCCAGAGAGGGACAGAGTGAGAGAGAGGAAAAGTGAGAAAGCAAACCGCCAGGTCCAGGACTTGAACCACGGTCGGCCATGTGGGAGGCCAGTACCCTTAACCACCACACCACCTGCTGTCCCCAGGATTCCTCAAGGGTGTTAGTAATAGACTTTTCCCTCTGCGGCCATATCTCCTGGGGTTCACAACACGGCGCTGCCCCCACGTCCTCTAGTGGAGCCTCACACTGCAGCCACAGGCCACTGTAGACCCCCCGGGGGCAGCTCCACAGGCAGGTGCAGGTCCCGCCAGCTGCAGCACAGTCAGACTCCTGCTCACGGCCAGCTGACGTGACAGGGTTTCGCTCCCAGTCCTGACTTTTGGTCACTTTCCTCTTCTGGCTAATCCCGAGGCCCCAGGCCTGCTCGTCCTGTCATGCCCTCAGCACAAGGTCCCCAGGCTGTCCAGGCTTCCCTCCGTCCCATGATCTGGGAGGAGGCCAAGATCCGGCCCCGAGAGCACAGCCATTCACGGAGGAAGCGCAGAGCTCTGACTGTCCGGCCGGAACAGATGAATTCACTGTCCCCTAGCCCTGGTGGCAGCACGTTAGCAAGGCCACACAATTAGGGACTCCTTGCCGACACGCGGCGTGCCAGCCTGCGTGTTACCGAGGGTTGCCCGCTGGTTAAGGCGAATACTAACGGTGCCCTTTTGTCCCAGCGTGTCGCTTCTGGCCTGGGCTTGGCCTGGATCATCGGACGGGTGCTTTATGCTTACGGCTATTACACGGGCGGTGAGTACACCCGGCGTGTGCCAGGGAACACTGAACGTTTTACTCGGATGCTGCTAGGGTTTTCTTCTTAGTGCGACTTGGAAAAAAAGGCGAGGTACCCCACAATTGCACATGCAGGACACAGATGCTCGGCAGGCAGAGGCCACCTGGCAGGCCCAGGTTCAATTCCCAGCCCACCCTCAAAGCTGGATCCCAGCCACATGGGAGGTTGGGGCCAGAAAATCCCAGTACAGAAAGACCCTGTCTATTAGACACCACACACACACACATACATATAACACACACATACAACACACACACCAAACACACACACACACTCACACACACATATCCCAATAAGGAAAAAAACGGGAAATAGCTTGATATCCAGGTTAAAAGTCTGTTATCTTCTCTCTTTTAACTAGTAACAAAACTTTTTTTTTTTTTTTTTTTTTTTTTGCCATACGGCACATGCCTTTACCAGAAATAGACAGTGAGAAGGAAAATGCTCCGGAATGTCCGTTCCCTGGGGGGAATGGCCACACCACAATCCCTTCTCCTCCTGGGATTATGGGCACCACGCCCACATGCCCAGCATGATTTTTCAAGCCATCAAGTCTGAGACTCGAACCATGGTCAACCATGTGGAAATCCAGAGCCTTAGCCACCACACCATCTGCTGGGCCCCACACATTTATTCTTACTGAGCATTTTTTTTTTCTTTTTTTGGAGAGGTTTTTGCTAGAGGGTGTGTGCGCTCACCAGACAGACAGAAACAGAGAGACAGAAAGTGAGAAATCACCCCCCAGGAGGGACGGCCATGCCGCAATCCCTTCTCCTCCACTCTCCTCTCAGGATCTTGGGCACGCACGCACACGCGCCCGGCATGAGTTTTAAGCCACCAGGGCCAGGACACGAACCGCGGTCGACTACGTGGGAGTCCAGCGACATAGCCATTACACTAACTGCTGGTCCCTTACTGAGCATTTTCTGTGTGCCATTGTTCCCTAAGAATTTTGCATGTGCTATTTGACCTTTTAACAATTCTGAGATAAATAATACCCCACTTTGTAGGTGGGAGACAGACCCAGGGTCACCCGTGCATTTCCCAGTGTACACCCTGTGGCTTAAGCTCTGGAGATGAGGCTTAGAGAAATGAAACCTTTAGGCCACATAGCCACCAAGTACCAACTAGAAAGCCAGGATTTAAACCCAGGCAGGCCGACTCCGGGGCCTAAGCTCTAATGTCAATGGTACTCCCCAGACAGCACAGGAAAACGTTTTTTGCTGGACTTGTATGTATTTCTTCAAAAAAGAGGAAAATACTTGCAAAGGCCCTATGCAGAGCTGTCCTGCCATCCTGTACTTCTCTGCAGAGCAGTCGGCACTGTTCTTTTTTTGGTTTTTTTGTTTGTTTGTTTGAGAGGTTTTTGCTATAGGGCACATACGCCCGCCATAAAGACAGAGAGAGACGAAGAAACAGAAAGTGAGAAATCACCCCCCAGGGGAGATGGCCTCGCAGCAATCCCTTCTCCTCCATTCTCCTCTCGGGATCTTGGGCATGCACGCACACACGCCCGGCATGAGTTTAAGCCACCAGGTCTGGGACTCGAACCATGGTCGACTACATGGGAGTCCAGCGACATAACCATTATGCTAACTGCTGGTCTCAAAGCAATGCTGTTCTGACGACGACTTGGCATGAGCATCTGGCCCGCCAGCACTTCCTGAGGCCAGGTTGTCTGTGGGCAGCCCCAGTAACTCCTGCTCTTCCTTCTTTTCCAGAACCCAGCAAGCGGAGTCGAGGGGCCCTGGGCTCCATCGCCCTCCTCGGCCTGATGGGCACGACCGTGTGCTCGGCCTTCCAGCATCTCGGCTGGGTGAAAACTGGCTTGGGAGGATCCAAGTGCTGCCATTGAAGGATGACAGGGGCCTAGCACTCTCGTCCATTTTGGACGACTTGTCTTCGTTTCCAGTTACTCTTTTTTTTCTAAATGTAATAAAACCTTACTTGGCATCAGCCTCATACCTAAACCTTCTGGCTCTTGTTTGTTGTTGTGACTCTGAAGTGGCAGCCAGTTCGTGTTAGATGAGTGGAGAGTGGGGAACCACAGGTTCGAGTCCCCTCCTCACCCCGTGGGCAGATGTGCACGAGTATATAAGTGAGAAGACGTCTGGGCACCACATTCATCCCCACACCACAGCAGTGGAAAATGAAGGGACATCCTTTATCTCCGCTCAGGGTACAGGGTTACCACTCGCCACCAAACTAGGGTAACTGCAAGAAGGCTTAAAATCTGTGCCAAAGATCGTCGCTTAAAGGCTGAAACAATAGAGCACATTGAAGACCCAGCGTAGCAGGGCTGAGTGGAATGTCTTCCCTGGGTACAAAGCTAACTGTGTGTGCAGGGGGTGCCTGCAGATGTGCATGGGGAGGCAGAGGTGCTGGTTGGGCTAAGGAGCAGGGCATAGCTGGCTGTGTAGTACAGCAGCGATGCACTCCTCAAGAGAGGCCAATCCTACATGGTGATGACCACAGTTCAATCCCAGCCTGGCCAGTCCAAAGCCTGGTCAGCCTGAAATATGCCGGATAGGTGCACACGTGTCAGAGAAGCAGCAGCCTGGAGACAGGGCCACGGCGGCCCCTGGGCAGGGTTCCATCGCTCTCATGTGGGCCTCCATATTCTCTATCGTCCACAAAGGGTAACAATTCAGTTTTTTTTAAAAAAAGGCAGCATGAGTCGGCAAAATATGATCAGGCCTCCAGAACTAACGTGGCCATGAACGACATTGGTCCCTCCGCCACCATCTGCAGTTCCTGCTCTCCATAGTTCCAGGTACCTTGGTCCACCACAGTCAGATATTTGGAAAGAAACCACGTTGACATAAAACACTGATTTATTTATTTGTAAGGTTTTTGCCGTAGGGCTCATGTGTTCCACAGAGAGAGTGAAAGGGAAAGTGAGAGACCACCCCCCAGTGGAGATGGCCACGTCACAGTCCCTTCCCCATTCTCCTCCTGGGATTCTGGGCATGCACACACAAGCACATGGTGTGAGTGTCAAGCTGCCAGGTCTGGAACCAGAGCTGCAGTTGTCCACATGGGAGTCCAGCACTTTAACCACCGCGCCATCTACTGGCCCCGTGTGTGTTATTTTATAAGAAACGCACCTGGAGGCTGGAGAGTTTGCAGAGGTTTCTTTTTCATTGCCAAGTTGTGGGCACCACTGACCTGCAAACTGCCAGCTTTTCACCTTAGTTTGCATATTTTCTGCTATAGGGCACATGCACTCTCTGGAGACACACAGAGAGACAAAGAGACAGAAAGCGAGAAATCACCCCGCAGGGGAAACGGCCACACCGCAGTCCCCTCTCCATTCTCCTCTCAGGATCATGGTCACACATGCACACACTCCCTGCATAAGTTTTAAGCCACCAGGTCCAGGACTTGAACCACAGTCGACTATGTGGGAGTCCAGCGACATAGTCATTATGCCATTTGCTGGTCCGTTAGTTGGCAGTCTTAATGGGACACTCTTCTAAATAATGTAACCTGTCATTTTGCTCTTGCACAGTGGGCTCAGGTGGAGTTTTATAAGGAAGCCCAGTGCATGATGGGTGCTGCAGTTGAAGTGGAGGACCTGGCTCTGCCTTTTCCATCCTCTGGTTCCCCACAAACACCCCTGGGGGAGCCCGGGCTTGCACACTCCCACTGGTGGGCGGCTGCTACAGGGAACAGCCTCATCCATCTGCTGCCCCATCGGCAGTGCACCTTCCAAGGAGTTAGCTGATTGCTCCAGGGAACACGTCCTCCAGTTTGCTCTGTGTGGAAACGGGAGAACTGTGTCAGCCTAAGAAAGCCTAACTGACCCCTGCTGGACCTGCAGTGACCCCTGCAGGTAGCCACATGCCCTTGGGCAAGTTTACCAGCCTCCCTAAGCCTCAGCTTGCCCAGCTGTAAGTTGGGAACACTGACAAGACGCACAGTAGAAAGTGCTGGAGGACCTAGCGCGTAGCTGTGCTCGCCCTTGCAGGCACCATGGGTCCAGCACCGGGCGTAGGGGAAGCGCGAGGCCCCCTGCTGGAGGGACCGCCCCACAGCAGTCAGCACCCAAGTGGTCTCCTGATGTTGTAAGGGCCTTCTGGAGTGTTCCTGCTCCCCTTTTTGCATCCCTGGTAGCACTGGCCTCCAAGGTGCTCTCCTAATGAGTCAGAAACCAAGCGCGCTCTCAGTCTGGCCCTCTGCAGCCGCACACTCGAGAACTTTCTGATCCCCACGGTCCACGAACGCAGGCCAGGCCCACATGTGGCTACTGAGTTCCTGAAACGGGGTGCTGCAATGGACAGCACATTTGTAATCTTTGGATTTCTGTTTTATTTTATAACTTCTTATTTAGGTTTAGTTGTGCATCTTTGTGAGGCACAGCATGCATGCCTCATGCAGCAGGCCAGTCAAGGATACCGCATTTGTCATCCGCAACAGTCCCCCACCTTGGAGGCACATCTATATGCGTCTAAGATTGGCAATGTCTAAGTCTGTTTATGGCTTCCATGTGCAAGAGACACAGCACACCCAACAGGGTCCCAGGGCCACAGTCCCTCTCTGGCTCAGCCAGCCCCACGTCCTGGGCACCTGTGCTCAGCATACAGCGAGGTCTCTGGGCTCCAACTAAGAACCTTCCCGTGTGGGTCAGCCTTGCTGTGCCACAATCTGGCCCCTATTTAGTTAGTTTTGGGTTGTTTTTTTTTTTTTTTTTCGGTTTTTTGCTTTTGGATTCGATCGGTT